ACTACTCATTACCACCTTCTGCAGCTCAAATGCTCTATCTTTTGAAAGTTGTCAAGGGCATGTTTCTGAAGTTTGTTTATTTGTTTCTTCTTTTCAGCTGGAGGCGTGTGCGCACCCGTTCTTTGATGCTCTTAGGGAGCCGAACGTGTCCTTACCAAACGGAAAACCTTTACCTCCCCTATTCAACTTTACCCCTCCAGGTGAGTGATATGATGTTCTCATCAGTTTGTAGTTATCCCTTGTTTGGTCTGATATGTTTCTTACTACGCTACGCACATTTTTGCATGCAGAGCTGGCTGGTGCGTCTCCCGAACTGCAAAACCGGCTGATTCCCGAGCACGCGAGAAAATCCATACATTGAGAGACTGATCTTTGTCTAGCCTTTGTAATATAGAAGTAAAAAAATATGTGAGGTTAGGTTTCCATTACAGCATACAGAACATTTTGCCATTGTGATTTTCAATGGAAGGCTTGTTTGTGTTGGTTGCCAATTAATGTTTGTGTAGTGCATACATATTCAACTATCATGATTGCCTTGGCTGTTAATTGAGAAATGTTTTGTGTTCATTTGTATGGAATCTCATGTTGAATATTTCCAACATTTTTCAAAGTTTATAAAATATTTTTCAAAGTCCAAGAAAATCTCTAACACATGGTAAGGTAATAATTGGAAACAACTTTTGTTCTAAAAGCCACGAGACAAGGTAAGGCAGCATGTCTAACCTTGTCTGGAATATACCTTGAAAAAACTCTACCAAGTCGAGGCATGAAAAGTTGTCTTATGCTTTATCATTATTGTATATTTGTATGTATCGTTATAGAATGACACAGGTAAAAGAATTAAGTATCCAACCAGTTTTCTATTGAATTTTATACGGTTTTATTTTCAAGGATTGCAGTAACAATATACTGCAATTATTAACGCATTGTTACCAGTGGCAGATCCAGGAATAAAAACTATTGGGGGCAGAATAATAATAATTAATACACAAAACATGTTCATGAAAATACATTAATAAAGCATATTAGATCAAACAAAAAATGGTTATAAAGTATACGACAATTTGTTTAAAACTAAATAAAGCGTATTACAATTAAAAAAACGATCAACTTTTCTTGAGTTTTTATCTTTTGAAAGTAATTTATTACAATTTCATTTGTGAGTAGTGACCCTTGAATAAAACTCTTTCTATGAAAGAAACTATATTGTAACTCAAAAACTAATCAAAAATTGTTTCTATTGCTTAAATTAGTCATCTATATTAACTTCTTAGGGCATTCAAATACTACTGGATATATCTGTACTTTAATTTGCACTAACTGGTGCCAAAATATAAGGGTGTTTTATTCAAAACAACTATCCATTAAATCTAATAAAAAAATGTACACCTAAAGTTTGTGGCTTTTTATAACTAAAAGTGTTTTTACTTGAATTGTTTTCAGTCCTAGATCAGACCATACCGGACTTAAACCGACTAGCCAATTCATACCAAGCCAGACCAGACTTGCGTAGTTATAAAATACACAAAGATCAAACATTTACCAGACCAGACCAGACATAAACAGATCAAACCAAAACAAACAAACAAATTTCAATCCAAGTCAAACATCCTTATACATTATTAATAAATCTCAAATCTTGTGTTATTTCTAAAAAACAACTAGCACCAAAAGCATGTAGTTCTGATTTTACTACTATCTTAACGGTATTTAGCCTAAAGGAGTTCATTACATTATTATGTAATTAAATTTACATTTGGATAAAAGATCTATTTACATAATTCGATAGTTAATTTAAAATTTTATATCGTTAGTTACTTAATTTTAACCTACTAGCTTACTAGCTACTGTATTAACATTAATTTTTATAAATTAGAATGAGTCATAATATTTATTTATTTTATTAAGGATAAACTATACGAAGTATCAAGTAGGAACAAGACCTCATCACAGTCGGTATCTACTCCGCATTTGTTTTTTTGTTATTTTGAAAGATCTACTCTGCATTTGTTATTCTCGAATTTAGCTATTCATTAGTCATCTTGATGTTCTCACTTCTCATACTAATCTGCAACCTAATTCTTCTATATTTGGGGATTAAATCTTTTAATTGCTATTACTTCTCTTCCGTATTAGCCTAAACTGAAAAGTTCGAAAAGATTTTACTTTACACATTGAAGAGATTAATATTTTTCAATTGGGGGCAAATGAGTGGATTAATATTTTTTCTTAATGAATTAAGGGGCATTAATAGGACTTTATCGGGGGCAGCTGCCCCCTCTTTACTATGTAGATCCGCCCCTGATTGTTACTGCAACAAGAATCCAATTAGGTAGTACGAGTATTATTTATGAATTAGTGATGGACCCGGTTCGGGCCACCTGGCCCGGGAACCAGCCCGGCCCGCTACTGTCTGGGCCCGGCCCGGTGCTTCGGGTCCCAAACCGGTCTTTTGACCCGGACCGTAGGGTTTAGCGGGGCGGGCTGAAGAAAAGGTGACCCGGCCCGGCCAAGCCCGGTTCGGACCAATTTTTTCCCCCCCAATTTTTTTAGTTCCCCCGGGTTGGGCTGGGTGTTTGGGCGGTGGGGGTGGTTAGGAACACAAATATATATATATATATATATATAGAGAGAGAGAGAGAGAGAGAGAGAGAGAGAGAGAGAGATGTTCAGGTCCGAACATTCCCCGTCCGAGCACCGTTCGAACATGGACGTTTGCGCCACTTCCCGGTGAAATTTTTTGATGAAATTTTTTGAGCATGTTCCTCATTAAGTCTAGTTTGTCCATACCAAATTTCAGCTCAAAATTCGATCGGGAAGGCATTCAAATCATTTTTTGAAGTTGACTGCGTCAAAATATACATATAAAAACGCAGTCAAAATATACATATGTTCCTTGATGAGGAACATGCTCAAAAAATTTCATAAAAACATTCCACCGGGAAGGACCCCAAACGAGGATGTTCGGACAGAGGGTCCTGTCCGAACGTTCGGACCTGATCTTTTTCCTATATATATATATATATATATATATATATATATATATATATATAGAGAGAGAGAGAGAGAGAGAGAGAGAGAGAGAGAGAGAGAGAGAGAGAGAGAGTCCTTTTCCTGTCCAGCCAGGCTGGACAGGAGGCTCGTCCGGCCACCTCAATTTGAGGTGGTTCGTGGGGTATTTTTTGCCCAAATTGTTTGTGTATGTTCCTCATCAAGTCTAGTTCATTCATACCAAACTTGAGCAAAAAATTCAATCGGGAAGGTCATCAAATGATTTTTGCAAGTTCACTGCGTTTTATATGTATATTCCGGACCAGTTAACTTGCAAAAATCATTTGACGACCTTCCCGATTGAATTTTTTGCTCAAATTTGGTATGGATGAACTAGACTTGATGAGAAACATACACAAAAAATTTGGGCAAAAAATACCACCGAGAACCACCTCAAATTGAGGTGGCTGGACAGGGGAGTGGTCCGGCCTGGCTGGACCTGAACAATTCTCTCTCTCTCTCTATATATATATATATAACCATATATATATATATAACCGGGCCCGGCATGAACCGGACTCGGACCGGACCCGATGGATACCCGGGCCGGTTCCGGGCCTACACCTTAAACCCTAAAAGCCTATCGGGCCTAGGCCCGACCCGGCCCGGGTCCATCACTATTATGAATTGTGATAGACAAAAATATGATTAGTATTTATTTTTATAAAAAGTGACTATAACTTCAAAACTTTAATAGGAGTATCAAATTTCTTCAATCTTTTATTGGGACGGTGTCATTAACAGTGGCGGTATGGCACTTGCGGTGTCATTAGTGGAATACTAAATCACATACCCGCATTCTTACTGCTTCAATTAACTATTACCCTAAATCATGGTACCTTTTCCATGTTTCCTTCTCAGATTTTCTATGTTTTCTACTTTTTCGCTTTCGTACTCTTTCAGCCATATTACAGTATTTTTTTTTATCCCGGTGAGCAAACCACCCGAAGGTGGGGTAAATGCCGGTGAACATTTACCGAATTTTATTAAGAGATGTACAAAGATGAGGGGAACTAGACCAATACGAAGGCAAAAATACAATAAAGAAACAAAAGCTAAAGAAAAAACAGAATAAGAAAGGGAGAGGAAAGTAAGAATGTCTAGTGACGAAAATAGAAAGTTCCTTCCTCATCCTGCTTAAGCATCTGAATCGTCAAGTTAGGAAGTTCATTCCCATTCAGAAAAGTTCTGTCGACCTTCTTCCTCATTCCCTCTTGTGCCAGAACGTGAGCAGCCATATTAATTTCTCTGTAAATATGCCGGGTCTTAACATCTTGGGAGTCACATAATCTTGAAAGATCATTAATCCAGGTATCAAGATGAGGGATCTTTAAAAATTTGTTCTTTCCTTTAATAAGAGATTCAGAATCAGATTCAAGTTGAATGTCTTTAATTATTCATGATTTTGCACCATTCCAAAGCTGTAACTGCTGCAATCATTTCTGCTTGAAGAACAGATTTCTCTTTTATCATGAAGTAAGCTGCTGCTATAAAAGACCCATCTTGATTTCTAAGAATAGCACCTCCAGCGCATTCGCCATTTTTGAAGGCAGCATCCACATTCAATCGCTGCTTATACGGGAAGTTATTCTTCCAAATCAATTTTTTTTGTTTGGTTTTCTTTATGTAATTTACTGAGTAATATACTTGTCTAATCTTCCTGAAAAATCTAAGATGAATCAACATGTGAAGTCCATTTTTTAAAGTAGTATTATTAATATCCATTAGAATCATTTTAGTAATATTACAGAAAATTATTATTTAATTTTTAAATTTTCAGGTAGTCATCTTTAGTAAGGCTCACATATTTAGAAATTATGTACGGAGTAAAAAAAATACGAGTACTATTGAAATGTCAAAGAAAATAAGAAAATGTTGATAGATTCATCTGGGTCGAATAATGAATATGATGTGCAAATTGAGGTTCTTTGTCAATAAGAAAAACAAAATGAGAACACATGAAAATAATTTTATATTATTTGGTCCAACTCCAAAAGAACAAATATAATCTTACAAAATATCAAACCTTTGTACGTCTTTTTACGATGGCTATAGTTTCCCCACCTAGCTAACTGTACAAGGCGTTTGCCAAACTCAAAGAGACAGTGGACACAACATTGTAATTTTTCTTTTCTTTTCTAGGTGTATTTAGACACAAAAACAATTCAACTTGCTAAAGCCTACCAATAATCTCTACAAGAACACGTACCTAATCTAAAATGGTGAAAATAATTGGAGTCTCGGAGAATGATATGGCGTTGGAACACCTTAGAAATAAACTTCATTGCAGTATGGCAATCCCCACAAACCCTTAGGTTCTTGTATACCCTAATCGCTGCTCCTTTCGGCAAATAAAGAAGCCCAAACGCGACAGCCAACTTCTCACTATGGTAAGCAAGGTTCTGCAGCCTACTCTCTTCATTGATGTCATGAAGAGAACATTTAATGTCAGGAACATATCCAGCCTCCTTGATCAAACTCAGAACATCATTCACCTTTAAGAAAATCTCATCAGTTTTCGGATGGGTTCTGTCCCCTGATAAGAACTTATGCACCACGCCGTTCTTCTCGATCCAGCTATAGCTACGTTCCTTGCGGGCCCCGCTCACCATCATCAATCTTCTGATTCTTGAAGAATCTCCCCATTTTCCAGCTGCTGAATATATGTTTGACATCATTATGTAAGGGGCAGCATCTACTGGTTCCAGTTTGAACAGCATGGTTGCAGCTTTCTCGGCTACCTGGATGTTTCCATGAACCCCACATGCAGATAGTAATGCCTTCCACACAGTCGCGTCCAGTTCCAAATCTTTTCCCGTGGTAAGCAACTCCATAGCCTCTTGCATCTTCCCCGACCGCCCTAAAAGGTCTATCATGCATGCATAGTGGCTGGGGCCCGGCTTTATCCCGTAAATGTTCTCCATGGATTCAAAATATGACCTTCCACGCTCAACAAGACCAGCACGACTACAAGCAAAGAGCAAACCTATAAAGGCAATGAAGTCTGGTTTTACCCCTTCTCCTATCATACAGTCATAGAATCTTACCGAGTCTTGCCCTTTTCCATTTTGGGCATAACCGATTATTCTGGCAGTCCATGTAATCACACTACGCGAATGCATGGAGTAAAAAATGCGGTCAGCATCTTCTAGAGACCCGCAATTAGCGTACATTGTCACAAGAGAGTTGTCAACCGATTCAGACATATTGAGGCCGGATTTAATATAGTTCGCATGGATTTGTTGCCCTAAATCAAGAACAGCAATTTCTGCACACGAACTCAAAATGCTGGAGAAGATGATCACATCTGGAGTGACATCAGCGGACATCATCTCACGAAACAACAATAGAGATTCTTCATGCATCCCGTTGTGAGCATATCCAGTGACTAGAGATGTCCATGAAACCACATCTTTGTCCATTATTCCTTTAAACACTTCCTTTGCATAAATTAGCTCTTCTTGTTTCGTGTACATGTCTACAACGGCATTAGAAACAAGCCTGTAACTGTCATAACCGCTCTTGATTATTAAAGAGTGGACACACTTTCCATTTCTCACGTCCTTTGTGGTAGCAAGAGAGTTGAGAACGGAAGGGTATGTGAAATTATCTATGTCTATGTGTCTAGAAAGCATGTCACTAAACAATGACAATGCAATGTGAGGACATCCGTGTTTAACGCACCCGAGTATCATGGCATTCCAAGAAACGGCGTGGTCAACTTCCATGGACTCCAACTCTTTTCTTGCACTGGATAAATCTCCACATTTGGCATACATATCCACCAATGCGCTCTGTACAAACAAATTTGAACCAAAACCGCCGCGAAGAACACAGGCATGAACTTGAACCCCTGATCTTAAGTCGCATAGTGCGGAACAAGAAGAGAGAACACTAGGGAAGGTATACTGGTTGGCATTAATATTTTCTTCTCTCATTCCCCAAAAGCACTGAATAGCTTTTGAAGGATTGCCATTCTGAGAATACCCATTAACCATTGCAGTCCAGGTAACATGATTTTTCCCACTTGAGATCATGCTAAATACAAATTCTGCTTCCTTAACACACATACACTTTGCATACATATCTACAAGACCTGTACCAACAAAGACGTCTTGATCAAACCAAGTCTTTATTGAATATGCATGAATCTGTTCACCTCTAGAAAGCAAACACTTCTGAGAGCAAATCCTTAGAATGCTGCCAAGCGTGAAACCCCTTGGCCTCTTCCCATCTTTCTGCATCGCCCAAAACAGCTCAAAGCATTCACTTTCAAACCCGTGTTTAGAGTACCCAGAAATTAGTGTCGACCAAGTGATGACAGACTTCTTTGGAGCTTCCTCAAAGAGATGTCTTGCTTCAGCAAGCCTCCCTGCTTCTGCATAGGACGAAATCATTGCATTCCACGCATTTTCATCCTTCTTATGCATTTTGTTGAGCATGCCGCAGTCCTCATCTAGGGAGCTAGTGTTTGATAGACAGCCCAAGGTTCGGTTTTTATAAGCAAAATCAGATTTCTGCGAGCTTCTTGCAGCTGGATTTGCAAGAGTTTGGGGTTTACAGCTTAGCTGTGTGGACTTATTCACAAAATTAAAACGATGCAGCCTAATATTGTTCATCACCTCAAGAAACATCGATCTCGGGAAACATTGTTAATGCTAAATTGTGAACTGTTTCTTCGTCCTGAGATCTTTTCTGCGGATTGCATCCAAGTTCCTAGCATGTTGGACCATTGAAGGGCCGTACACTGCCGTAGAGCTGAAATTGGCAAATCCGGCGAATCTGCTGAAATGGATGAAGTTCTGCCTGAAGCATTTAATTGTATAAATATGCTGAATCATGGATAAATTATATTTAAAATATATGTTATTAATAAAATAAAGAAAAAGTAAATGAAAAATTGTTAAAATGGTCATCTACAGTAACTTCAACCAATTCAATTAGAAAAGAAACTCTAACCTACTTATTTTGATTATTACACAAGCCAGTGCGCGAAATCATAAGTTATATATTTGGTGAAAAAGTTGATTGATAAAACTAATAAGTTAGACATTGGTGTTATCAAAGGAGCATTAAGTTGGAGATCAGAAATACATTTGCAAAGACTAATTTTTCATAGTGGTATAGGACCGTCCCTCTCTTTTTCTGGATTTCACTCTTCAAATAAAAAGTGATAATCCTATAAACACTTCAATCATAAATTCACGATACATACCATTACTACACTAAAGTATCAATGTACAATTTTAATAAATATGTAAGTGGGACAAAATTGATTAAATAATATGCAAGAATAGAATATACATAAACCTATTTTAATGTTGTTTTTCTTTAATAAGTAATTAATTCATTTCGATTTAATGTTTGTATATATTTATTTATGTGTATAATATAAGAACTTTTTGTTCTACAATACAAAATTAGTTTTAGTGAAAATTATTATTAAAAATAAATAAGTAAACTATAAAAGAATGAGATATAACTTTCAGAAAGGATTATGTTGAATACATCCCTCTCGTAATGTCTAATGGTTAACTTCCCTTTTAAGACTCCGAATAAAAATTATCTATTTTGTCAAATAATTATGCAACTTAAATTATGGGAGTATTAAAAGCATAAATGACAGTAGTTTAATATAGCATGAATATATTTTTAGTTTCAATGTGGCATTTTACATTTGTCGATAAAATTATCTTTCAAATGAGTATACAAAAAGGAATTGAGCGATTCGAATCAAACTGCAGTGCCCATGAAATAAAATATTATAACTAAACTATGAATGCATACACAATATGTATTCTTTTCAAATTAAGTATAAAGATTATGTCCCTGTATTATTATATAGGCGTCTATAATATGGAGTACTATGGGAATTTTTTCCCACTCATAGTTTATGCATTATAGGATTAAAAAAAGGAAAAATTCACATTAATAATCCCAAACTATCACCTATCTTCTTATATTAATTTCAAATATTAATAATTCCAATATAATCCAAACTTTAAAGGATGTCTTCTTATAACAAAGTAACAAACTGGTGACCTACATGAACCAATTCAGTAGGTTACCTGAATATCATAATGCACTTCGGGAAAATTCGATTTTTCATTTTTTAAGGAATAATTCACAAGAAAAATTCAAAAGAATATTCAACTTGCATCATGACTTATTTTCTTTGTATAATATTATAAGCGTCATACTCCTTAATTAATTCAACCTTCTAAAGCCAAATTAGCACTTGAATATATGCATCTTTTTGTAGATTTTGATATTATTTCTAGTACACAAATAAGCATCTTTCTTTAAACTTTTATATATTTTCTTCTCTCTTCTTATTCTCATTTATAATCCAGCCCTTTTCTTCTCATTACATTGTTGGTTTCTCATTTTCTTCTTTCATGTATCTTTCTTAAACTTTTCTTGAACAGTTGAACAGAATAATTAATTTTTTAATTGATGCCGCATAAGAAACACAACTCCTATAAGCAAGTTTTTTTTTTTTTTTTTTTACTCCGGGGGGTCTGGGGGAGGGGGGCTGGGGGAGCCTGGAGTAATCAGGGCTGAAACACATTTTATTGCATAGATAATAAACTATAACTTATTTTAGCACTAATACAAATATAATATGTACCATATATATGAATTATTAACAATATAATATTATTCTATAAATAATAATCTCATACATACTATTGTAATATTAAGAAACTCTTCGTGATTCACGAACACCCTCTTTGGTAGACAAATATTGCAATTCAAAAACAAATTCTTAATTCCGATAAGATTCATGTGGTTAAAGAATGCAATTTTTTTTAAAAAAAATATTGTTGAATGTGTACCTTTTGAACTCTTTATCTTCAAATAATTGGATAAAATGTTATATATCCTTTTTCATTTTCAAATCATTTTCCTTTGATTTGTCATTTTTACACTTTAATGTATCAATATTTTTTTCTAGAGCACTTCAACTATAAAATAAATGTTATTTTTTCATTATCTAAACTTATAATGTAATAGATTTAAATGGCGTCGTGTATGTATTAATGATTTTTTTCGAAAAAATGCCGCAGAGCTCTATACTAGCGAAAAAATTCGCACTGCTACACTAGCGGAAAAAAATTGCCCAGATATACTAGTGAAACAATTTTCACCCCTCACACTAACAAAAAAAGTGTGATTAGATATTAAAAGTTAAATTAAAATTAAAATTCCCTGATCCGTCCTTGTGACTTGTAATGGGGTGAAACTCGCTATAGGTTAATTAAAATTAAAGGTTACTAATAGTCAATGTTAATGATTAGAGTTGTGTTTTGGAAATCATCAAATTAAAACTTCTGCAATTATATATTTAAACCAGTATAAGTTGTTTTAAAAATACAAGCTAATAATGTTTCTTTAAAGGAGCAACTAAAATATTAACTGCACTCATAAATGCCAAATGTATGTATTATTTATTTAACACCATAATTTAGATAAATATGTAAGTTTGGAGTGTTCGCCTCAGAATAATTTTTTGAATAATTTTTTCTATAAGCAAGTAGTTTCAGTAATTTGTAATTAAAAAGACAAGTAGTCAGAAAAGTAGTTACCGGAGGCATTCAATCTTCACTCTTCAGCCGTTCAAGCGACTCAGACAGTGAGGGCTGTGAGGCAGACAGGCACTCAGCTGGGCGGCCGGCGTCGATTCCGGTCTCCAGCGACTCAGCGAGCCGTGCGACGGTGAGACGCTGCGACTGCGGAGGCGTCAGGCGTGGACCATGGACTCCGGGAGGAGTGGCGCGGTGGCGGGCTGGCGGCGATCGAGGATTCGAGGGTGGAGGTGTCGTCGGTCCTGGCTGCAGTCTGCGCCAAAACCAGGGCCGTCTTCCGGCTTTCTCTTCTATATTTGCTTGGACCTGGGCTGGCAGCTAACTAACACGGAGTACTACTAATAAGTGATTGGAAAAATTAACAAAAATAATCCCACCTTTCGCTGGTCTTCTCATAATAATCCCACCTTTAGATAATCCCAGAATAATCCCACCTTTGCACCTCATTTTCTTTCATTGGACCCTGACCATGTTTTTTACTCTTTTTTTGAGAATCATATAAATAATCTCATCTTTTACTTTTCTATTATATCTTAATAAATGTGAGATTATTTATATATGATTTTTAAATAAAGGTAAAAAACTTGGTCATGGTCCAATGAAAGAAGATGGAGTGCAAAGGTGGGATTATTTTGGGATTATGTAAAGGTGGGATTATTATGAGAAGACCAGTGAAAGGTGGGATTATTCTTGTCAATTTTTCCTAAGTGATTTTGGGCCTTCAACATTTGGGGGGCCGAGTGAATTGGGCTAGGTACCCTGCTATTGGCGGGCCCTGCTCTTGTAGTAGTTGGCAGAACTACATGCCTATGCCTGGTATCATGGTATATTGGTATGTGTTAGACCGTTAATATATGTATATGGGCTGTAGATATCTTTTGGGCTTGTATATTATTTTACCCTTTATCTTGTAATTAACTTGTATAAATACTCCTACTTATTCTATTGAATAAACAGAGGGAATTAACCCTAATATTCATTCGGCTATACTACTGCTCTCTGTTTAACATGGTATCAGAGAACTCGGACGTGTAGTCCTCGTTGTTTTCTTCTTCGCGGCTTGCCCGTTCTTCTGAGCGCCAGCGTGCCTCAGTCCATCGGTCAGCATGGCATTGGATATTACCTCTCCTTATTATCTTGGTTCCGGTGATCAACCGGGGAATCTTATCACTCACGTGATATTCAAAGGCGATAATTACGTAGCATGGTCTCGTGCTATTCTATTATCCTTGAAGGCCCGGCGGAAGAACGTGTTCGTTGATGGCACGCTCAAACGACCGGAAGCAGCGGACCACCAGTCCAATTGGGACACCGCCAACTCTATGGTGGTGTCGTGGATGTTACGAAGCATGGAACCCTCCATTGTCAATTCGGTGCCGTTCCATGATGACTCTCGTAGCTTATGGGTCTATTTGGAGAAGCGATTCAGCGTCGCTAACGGACCGCGTTTGCAGCAATTGAAAGCTTCTATCTCGGCCTGCAAACAGACGAAGAACATGAGTGTTGATCATTACTACACCATGTTAATGGGACTGTATGACGAATTGTATCGGTTGAAACCTCTGCCGGTTTGTACGTGCTCTAATTGCACGTGTAATATTGTTGGGAAGATTGAGGCCGAACGTGCTGAAGAACGGCTTCACCAGTTTCTTGTTGGCATAGATGACGAGTTATATGGCACTGTACGTTCGAATTTACTCTCCCAGGACCCCCTGCCCAATGTCGATCGCGCTTACCAAGCCTTTGTTCAAGAAGAGACGTCACGTGCTGCTATTCGTGAGAAGACCGTTGCGGCCGATGTTCATGCCTTCGCTCTGCCAATGGACCGTTCTGCCAAGGGTCGCGTTGAAAAATCTGATCGTCCCAGGCCAACGTGCAGTCATTGTAAACAGAAAGGTCATGAAGTGGGCTCGTGCTTCAAGTTACATGGGTATCCGGACTGGTGGGAAGACCGGAACCGCCACAAAAGTACTCCGACTGGCCGTGGAGGGGGGGTTAGCACGAACGCTGTAGCGGCTACCCTACTGCCAGCTCCTGAAACTGCTTCCTCATCTAGTGTGGGGTCCAATACTGGCTCGGCTGCTTTGACCACTGAACAGGTGCAAGCGCTCCTCAATTTACTTAATACTGATACCCGTTCATCTGATCGCATGTCGGGTATGTCTTCTGATTTTGAGTGGATTATCGACACTGGGGCGTCGCATCATGTTACCGGAGAGGTGGCTTGTCTCACGAACCCCGGTACCATCCCCCCGTGTCCGGTGGGGCTGCCAGACGGACGTAAGGTGGCCGCGGTTGTGTCAGGCCGGGTCATCTTGGCTCCGGGTTTTATTCTTGACAATGTTCTTTATGTACCGGGGCTTCGTTGTCATCTTATCTCTGTCTCGCAATTGATTGACCAAAATAATTGTATTGTCACATTTACTAATCAATTTTGTGCTATACAGGACCTGTCCTCGAGGAACCTGATTGGAGCCGGTGAACGGCGGGATGGGCTCTTTTATTTCAGACGTGTACCGGTTCTACATCATGTTCGGGCATCCGTAGGAGTATCGGCGTTTGAGTTATGGCATCGTCGTCTTGGTCATCCTTCTGATCGTGTTCTGAAGTTGTTACCTGCAGTTGGTTCCAGTTCGCAGCCAAAGAAGTTACCTACCGTATGTGAAGTTTGTCCTCAGGCAAAGCAAGTTCGTGATTCTTTTCCTAGTAGTATAAATAAAGCTAGTAGAGCACTTGAACTCATTCATTGTGATTTGTGGGGTCCATATAAAACCCCGTCTACATGTGATGCCATTTATTTTCTTACAATTGTGGATGATTTTTCCCGGGCAGTTTGGGTCTATTTGTTGCGTGATAAAAAGGAAGTGCGTCAGTTTTTTCTCTCTTTTCTTGCTATGATTGAGAAACAATATGCTGTATCTGTCAAAACTGTGCGCAGTGATAACGGGACCGAATTTAAATGCATGATTCCTTATTTTGACTCCCATGGCATTCTGTTTCAAACTGCTTGTGTTTATACACCCCAACAAAATGGACGGGTAGAGCGCAAACATCGCCATATTTTAAATGTTGCACGGGCATTAATGTTCCAAGCTCATATTCCAATCCGTTTCTGGGGTGAATGCGTGTTGACCGCTGTGCATGTAATTAATAGAACACCATCTGGTTTTTTAGACGGAAAGACTCCTTATGAGCTTCTTAATGGTACACCCCCTGATTTTTCCCACTTGCGGGTTTTTGGCTGCCTGTGTTTTGCTCACAATGTTCGCTGTCGGGAAAATAAATTTTATCCCCGTAGTCGACGTGGTGTTTTTATGGGCTATTCTCATGGGAAAAAGGGGTGGAAGGTTATGGATTGGCACACGGGTGAATTCTTTGTATCTCGTGATGTTATTTTTCATGAGGACGTTTTCCATTTCTGACTTTGGTTCCTACAACCTCAGATACCCATATGTCTGCCTCTGCTTCGCTACCTTCGGCTCCGGTCATCTTGGACCCAGACCCGGCTCCCACTGCTATTGAGGCACCTCCTGTCTCGGTCGTGGTCCCGGAGACAACTGCTCCCTCCGATACTCCTCTTCTCGGCCGTGGATTACGTTCTAAACGTCCATCAGTCTTGCTACGGGATTTTGTCACGCACCATATTCACACATTGAGCCCATCCCCGCTGTCTCCCGCTTCCGTCAGTTCCTCAGGTACTCCTTATCCTATAGCTCATTATATACAATGTGACAAATTTTCTACTAGTCATCGGTGTTTTCTTGGAGCACTGCTTACAGGTCATGAACCTAGGTCTTTTAAAGAGGCCATGTCTGACATTGGTTGGCGAGAGGCTATGCAGAAGGAAATTCGTGCTCTCGAAGATAATGGTACCTGGGTCATGGAACCCCTTCCACCTGGTAAGAAAGCTCTTGGGTGCAAATGGGTGTATAAAATTAAATATCACTCTAATGGTACCATTGAACGCTTAAAGGCCCGCCTGGTTGTTTTTGGTAATCATCAACAGGAAGGTATTGACTACACGGAGACCTTTGCTCCTGTAGTCAAAATGGTTACCGTTCGTATGTTTTTAGCTGTTGCTGCAGCTAAACAGTGGGATCTTCATCAGATGGACGTTCACAATGCCTTTCTTCATGGGGATCTACAGGAGGAAGTTTACATGAAACCCCCACCCGGGTTTGATTCTTCTCGGCCTGGGCAGGTGTGTCGCCTGCGAAAATCTTTATATGGGCTCCGCCAGGCACCGCGGTGTTGGTTTGCTAAGTTAACTACTTCCTTAAAGAATTACGGGTTTTCTCAATCTTATTCTGATTACTCTCTTTTCACTATGTGTCGAGGGACAACTCAGTTATATGTGCTTATTTATGTTGATGATTTAATCATTGGCGGGAATGATTCCGGTGCTATTTCTCAGTTTAAATCATATTTGCATGAATGCTTCTACATGAAGGACCTGGGTGTCTTAAAATATTTTCTTGGGATTGAGGTGGCTCGTGGTGCAGATGGTTTTTTTCTTTGTCAGCGAAAATATATTCTGGACATTATTTCAGAAGCTGGACTACTTGGGGGAAAACCTGCCTCTTTTCCTATGGAGCAAAATCATGCTTTGGCTCTCTCTCAGAGTGATTTATTGCCTGATCCTGAGCGTTATAGAAGACTTGTTGGCCGTCTCTTATACCTCTCTTTTACCCGACCAGACTTAGCTTATGCTATTCATATTTTGTCTCAGTTTATGCAGGCACCCAGGCAGGATCACTGGTTGGCAGCCCTCCGCATGGTTCGCTATCTAAAAGGTACTTTGGGCCAGGGTATTCTTCTTCGTTCTGACTCCGATCTTACGCTTACTGGGTGGTGTGACTCTGACTGGGCTAGCTGTCCTTTGACTCGCCGTTCTCTCACCGGTTGGATAATTTTTCTTGATCATTCTCCTATCTCCTGGAAAACCAAGAAGCAGCAGACTGTGTCTAGATCTTCTACCGAAGCGGAATATCGATCCATGGCGGCTATCACGGCCGAACTCAAGTGGGTTAAAGGACTCCTTCTGACTCTTGGTATTCGTCATTCTCAACCCGTATCCTTGATGTGTGATAGTAGTTCGGCCCTACACATTGCACGCAATCCTGTCTTTCATGAACGCACGAAGCACATTGAGGTGGACTGTCATTATGTACGGGATGCTATTCAAGATGGGTTACTTATTGCTCGTCACGTGTCTACCTCCGATCAGCTTGCCGATATTTTCACAAAAGCTCTCGGCAAACAACAATTTTTATACTTACTTCGCAAGTTGGGCATTTTTGAACCGCATGCTCCAACTTGAGGGGGGGGGTGTTAGACCGTTAATATATGTATATGGGCTGTAGATAATGGTGATAAAAAGAAAAATGTTATTCGATCTTGTACTCGTGTGATGTATGGGATATTGTGTTACTCTATAAATTAGATAATGATAATTAGATAATGATAATAATGCTTGAAGAACGTTTCTCACATTGGCCGTTTTATTTCATTTCAAAATTCTGGAGTATGAATTTAAGCTTAAAAACCAACATTTAACTAACAATTACATAAGACTTACATGTATTCTTTGGATTTTAAGGAGAAGAAAAGAAGCATCACAAACCATTTAATGATAGTATAGTAGCTGATTGATCCAAATTTTTTACTCAGCATGTGAGCCTTCAACAATTTGGCTCCAACAATACGCATTTTTTATTTGGAAATGCTTGATTTGCAAATAAGTTATACGTAGTATCTTATTTATGCTTTTGCGATATATTTTTTGCTACATAATTCGATATACTAAAACAATATTAAATATTAAAGGGCTATCAGTGTACCTAAAAATGTGTTATTATTATTATTATTTTTATTAAAGTTGTCTCTGAATTGAGTATGGTGGTAGATATTTTCTCACACCAATGTGAAAATACAATTGAATCATCTGAATGGCTGATATTTTGAATTAAACATTTATTTGAAAAATAGCTAAAATGATACTCCGTATTCTTTTGCAAATTCAACCAATTTAATTGGAAAAGCAATAATTTTAATTTACTTATTTTAATTATTATAAAATTTAGCAGATGAAATTAAAATTCAAGTGTTTGATAAAAAAAATTGACGAAAAAAAATTGTTAGATAATGGTGATAAAAAGAAAAATGTTAACATTAAGTCTTGTTTTTCAAGAATCCAAGTACTTAATTGCACATCATCTCTATAAGGTTGGAACTTCTCAATAATTGGCAGATTATCCGACCATAACTCAAAACCAACTCCAAACCATCCCTAGTTACATTTGCGAATTGCATTCATACCGAGAAATTTCAACCCGACGTCCCGACTACCATTCTCTTGAAACTATCCTTCGCCTTTCACCTCTGGAAACTTTGACCACAATATGTTCCGCCCACTTACAAAATGCCGCCTTTTTTTATTATTATCAATATAATCAATGAAAATAATTGACAAATTTTTACATCGTAATAAAAACATACGGATTATTTATTATCAAGTGGTAACAAATGCCTTTGCCAAAAAAAAAGAGCTAACAAATTGCATGTATGTGTACCTCCTTATGAAATACATTATCAAGACTTCTTATTTGACCTTCATTATAAACCCACCACTCTTACCTTTAAATCCCAATGCGTTGCTTGAGCAGAGACATCTCTCAAAACTTCTAGCGTATGAGGTATCAATATAACACACAGGAAGTTATTGGTATTTTGAAAGCAAAAATAGCAACCAATTCTATCGAGTCAGTCATGAATCTATTTTTTTGAACCATCTAGAACAATCATTATCTACGCCAATGGTTTAAATAAGTAGAGGAAGTTATATTACTGCAACAGGGGAATAGGAGATCCATTGCTTGTGAAATAATAATTGGTGATCGAGCACAAGTGTGTCCTTACATATTACAAATGCTATGTCTCGGCAAACCAAAAGGTCTCGTACAGCTTCTAGCCGGTTTTAGCACCATTTACGAAGCATTATCATTGAACTAAACATTTAGGTTCAATTATTT